GAGGCCGCCGCCGAGGATCTCTTGCAGGCCGTGAAGGCGCGTCTGTTCGGCCGGTTCGAGGTCACCCGGGCCATCTTCATGGCCGCGATCGAGGATCTCAACGAAAAGGGCTACGTCGCGCGCGCCGTGGATGAGGGGAAGGGGTTGGTTTTCGTGTATAAGGCCTAGTAAAGGCGCCATGCGTGGGGAAGAAAGAAAGAAAGAAAGAAAGCGAGCGAGCGAGAGACCGAAAAGGGACGGATCCAGCGAGGGATCCACAAATACCCAAGCGAAAACTTTGACCGACAAAAAAGAATTAAGGCAAAAGCGAGAAAAGAAAAGGACTCGGGGTAAATTACAATCTTTTAGATCTCAGCGTGTGATGAACCTTTTTATAACTTTAGATCGGATTTTGGCGCTCATGTAACAGGTAACAGAAACGTGAGGTAGGTGATAATCGTTTTACTTTTTAGTTCTTGTGTATTTTATGGTTTTTAGCTTTTACTATTGCTTGCTATTCCCTATTTTATTCATTTACTTATTACTATTATTTTGAATATCTTTATTTCATTTGAAGCAGCTTCATTGACTTTAAATTTACCTCTTTGGTCATTAGTTTACAAAAGTGGAGCTCACTAAGTGTTGTTGTTGGGGAAAAAAAAGCCAACCCCCTTACTATTACCTCTCACCTTTGAAAGAACTATGAAGTAAAAAATGTATTTTGTCTATTACTACAAATAATTTTATCCTAGAGATCACGTTGGCCGATCTGAAGATCTAACTCTTTTTCTTTCGTACCTTTTTAAATTTAGTTCGAATTCTTTGTCATTTTTTTTTTCGTACCCATTAAGTGTTCTCCCACTTATCTATATTTATTTATTCACTACCATTAACATATTTTGATATAGGGTTTATTCAGGAGATGCACTTCTGTTTTTTTCGTGTAAGTTTACTTCTCTGGAGTGAAAGGGGGGAGCTTGCCAGGCGTATTTATTGCTTCTTTTTTATCCCAGGGAAATCATCATGTCAAAGGTATACGAAAGGTATTTTTAGAGAAATTCAATCGCCACTAGGAGCCTCTTAATGAGGTGCTCACAATAATAATATTTTCTTTTGTATGTGAGATGGTGCTATTTTGACTTATAATTCTTCAAATGAAGAGTTTTTTTTATTTCTTTTTTTGTATGGACGTTCAATATGTGAAAAATATAATAACCAAGTGAACACACACAAAAAAAGTCTGTCCATAAAGATCTGGTGTAATTAATTTAGAATACTGTGTGATTTCCTGCAGTAGTTCACTTTTTGTCAATGCTCTTTTTTCATTATTTCCCTGTTATTATTAATATTGGTACTTTTTTTTTTTTAAATACCTATTCGTTCTTTTTTCTCTCTCGTTCTCTCTCTATGGTTGATTTAAACATCGACTTTATAATCAAACAAAGAAACTTGGAGTATTTTCAATTTTAGTATTCTAATAAGGAAATACAACCACGTAACATAAAGGGAGATAACGAATAGGTACATGAGTAGCCAGGTATTCAGGAGCGACCGTATTCCAATGCGTTTTTTCATAGCGCCCATTTCTTCTTCCGGGATCTCGTCAAGGTTCCTTCCCTTTTCCATCTCCTCCTCGACATTTTTTCAAATTTCTCCTTTTCATCATCGTATTTTTCACAACGAGGGGCCAAATCCCGATCACCTTGTATCGTCGTCGTCTCAGCGCACGGGATTGGCTTCCACCTCGAATGGGTCAACGAAGGACGACGAAGGGGGGCGGCATTCGCGCGATGCGTCCTTTAATCCCCACAGCCCCTCCCGTCGTGGCTTCCACGACGCCGTGGAGGGGAATTCAACCCCCGCCAGGAGGGCCCCGCCGCCGCCCTTCTCCTACCAACGCCGGCGCCCCATCACCACCGCCCTGGCACCTGAGGAGGCGCGTGACTCGGCTAGTCCAATGTGGGGCCCCCATAGTCCCCGTGGGACTTCTTCTTCTCCTCTTAATAACAGGGACGACAATTATAGGGATAGGAGGGAGACGCACTATTCCGGTAGTCCTAACAGGGGTCAGAGGGAAATGCCCTGTAACAGCCCTGAGGTCCATTATTCCGGTAGTCCTAACAGGGGTCACAGGGAAATGCCTTGTAACAGCCCTGAGGTCCATTATTCCGGTAGTCCTAACAGGGGTCAGAGGGAAATGCCCTGTAACAGCCCTGAGGTCCATTATTCCAGTAGTCCTAACAGGGATTCCAGGGAAATGCCTTGTAACAGCCCTGAAGTCCATTCACCCGCTAGTTCTACTCCTTTTAGCAGTCCTCGCGTTAGGGGCCCTCGACGCTCTCCTTTTCCCACCGCGGGGGTTCTTCGGGTGGATTCGAGCCGCCAGACGGTGGAGTTGAACGCGACCCAGCGCGACCTCGTTTGGCAGGCCCGCCGGGCGGACTATCAAACTACGTTGATCCGCATCGTCGGCGTCCTGCAGGCGCACCGGACGGGGGCGGAGAAACTCCACGTCCTGCGGGCCCTTCATGAGGATGAGGTCATCCGGCGGCGTTTGCGACTTCGCCAGGACACCTATGAGGAGATTTTTCATCTTTTCTACGCCGTCGCCATGCAGGCGAGCGGGGTCCCGCCGGGTCATTTAAATGAAAGCGCCCTCCCCGTAAGGGGCTGCGTGCGGTGGGAGGAGGAGTGGAGAGGGGGGCCCGCGGGGGCAGGGGGCGTCCACGAATTCGCGACGCCGCTCACCACCGCGCTGGCGATACTTTCCCCGCATTGGATTCAACAACTCTGGCGGATGTATCGCTATCAGGTCGATAGCGGGACCACCCCTTCGACGCATTGTATTCAGCACATAATGGGGATCCTTGAGCACGCGGTGCGGCATCGTCAGGTGGGTCCTCCGGGCCCCAAACGCCCTGACGCCTTAACCCGCTCGTCTTTTTCTTCACTTTCGACTTCCTCGACGTTCTCGACGGTGCTTTTGGAGGCCAAGGCGCATTCCCTGATGATGGATCTCGCCCGCTTTCACCTGACCCCGACGGAGTTCACCATCAATTCCTACATCGCCATTTGCGGGGGCTGTGGTGGGATGCACCTCGCCGTCGCCGCCTTCGCCGATTACCAATCCCGCCATCAACGCCAACCCTCCGCGCGGACGTACGCGATGTTGATTCAACATCTTTTGCGGAATTCCCACTACAAAGAGGCCATTTCCGCCATCTCCACCATGCAAAACGTCCCGATGACAACGGCGTTGTTGAATGCCGTCCTGCAGGCCGCGCGATTTTCGACCGACCCCGCGTCGGTTTTTACGTTCTACCGCGCGATCATTCAGGGGGGCAAACGATCGAAACCGCGCGTGTCGTTTTCGTCCTCGTTGGGGATTTGCCCCGATCTGGCGACCTTTTCCATCCTCCTGGAGGGGATTCAACAGGATCTGCAAAGCCACCTTGAAACGAACCACAACAATACGAAGACGGGTCACAATTCCGCTTCCCACGCTGCGAAGGACCGGCTGAAAAATTCCAACCACCGGCTCGATTTTGTGCTGGCGGAGATGCGCGCGTTTTGTGTGCGGGGGAATGGGCAGTTTTTGAATAAATTATTGCGCGTGTTTCTAAATCTCCGCCGCTTTAGTCAGGCAAAGGCGCTACGCTCGGCGATGAAAGCCAAACATGTGCTCATATTTGACGAACTACATGAGCGAAACGAGGAAAGGGAGGCCGAGTGTTCAACGCACAAAAGACTGGAAACGTAGCGGTGTGGAAAGGATTGGGGGTAACCAAATCTTTCATTTAAACATTGAATATATAACTATATTTATAGATCTATTAAATGTTTTTTGCTCTTTCTTTTCAACTTTTAGTGCACATTCAGCTTCACGGACGTGCTGGAGAGATGTTTTCTCCAAACACGAATTAACAGGGGAAACCCAACAACAGGGCCTCCCCCCCTTTACCCATTGGTAGATCCCCCAAGACCGCATTGCGTTATCCCCTTCCCCCCCCCCTTTTTTTCCCCTTTCTTTTTTGTCTTATGACTTTTATTCGGATGCCATTTTCATTTCCAAAGGAGTTCCCTCCCCTCCCCTCCCCCCTAACAATGGGCAGTTTAAGCCACTATCCCGATCGTGCGGAGCTTTTGCGGGTTCTCGACGGGCTGAGCCGGCCGGAGGCCGCGGCCGCCCCCCCCCCGGCGGGTTTTTTGTCCCCCGACTTCGACGACTTCCGTCCTTTGCTGCGCGATTTCGTCGGCCTCCACGCCGACGCGACGTTGGACGGGGGCCGCCGCCTCGCGGCGGCGGCGGTCGCGCGCCGGCTGCTCG